TGATCATGCTTTGAAAAATAAAGACCTTTACCAGGAGCAAACTTGAAGTACCTCAAAATTTGTATGACAGCCTCGAAGTGAATATGATGTGGAGCATGCATAAACTGGCTAACCATACTGACAGTAACAACAATATCAGGACGGAAGTAAGATTGGTAGCTGAGCTTACCCACTAATCGCTGATAGCTCCCCCTATCAACAGCTGTTCCTCCTTCATCATCCCCTAGTTTTTGATTGGGTTCCAGTAGAGTGTCACAGGCTTTGTAGCCAAGCATCCCATTTTCACATACTTCCTCTGTGAGATAAATATCCCATTCTTGGAGCGAGCAACTTCAATTCCTAGAAAATACTTCAAGCTCTACAAGTCTTTGATTTCAAACTCACTTGCTAAATATTTCTTCAACAGCAGGATTTCCTTACTATCATCACCTGTAAGAACTATGTCATCCACATAAACAATGAGCGTTGTAGTCTTACCAAGTGATGAATGTTTCACAAACAAGGTGTGATCTGACTGACTCTGTTTGAAGCCATATTTAAGCATAGCCTGAGTGAATTTCTCAAACCAAGCCCTTGGAGACTATTTGAGACCATATAATGACTTCCGAAGCCGGCATACTTTACCCTCTGTTTGATGATCCTCAAAACCAGGAGGAATGTCCATATATACCTCTTTTTTTAGGTGACCATGGAGAAAGGCATTCTTTATATCAAACTAAAGAAGTGGCCAATCTAGATTAGCTGCTAGAGAGAGAAGTACTCTGACTGAATTCATTTTAGCCACAGGTGCAAAGGTCTCCTGATAGTCAGCACCATATGTCTGAGTGAACCCTTTTGCCACAAGTCGAGCCTTGTAACGCTCGATAGAACCATCCGCTTTTTGTTTCACACTATACACCCATTTGCATCCCACAGGTTGTTTGTCCTTAGGTAACTCAGTCAATTCCCAAGTGCCATTCTTTCTAAGTGCTTTCATTTCCTCAATCATGGCAAGTTTCCATTCAGAGGTAGCAAGAGCATCCTAAAAGTGGTTAGGAATGCTAACAGAGGAAATATTTGACACATAAACTATATATGAGGATGACAAATGAGAGTAGGGCACAAAATTTGAGATAGGATATTGAGTATAAGATCTCACACACTTTCGCTTGGCAATAGGAACATCAAGATCAATATGAACATCAAGATTAGTGGATTCAAAAGATTCAAAGTTACCTGGACTCTCATCAGAAGCAGGAGATGGCAGTGAGTGAGAAGAAGTAGTCTCCCGTATCTAGTTAACTTTCTACCTGTCTTTGTTTCTGACTTAAACTTGCCCTTCCCTATCCTTGGTGAGATTGGGTTCTGTAGTCCCAGTAAGCAAGGGTGGTGCAGGAACAACAACTGGTTCCACCATAGGAATAACAGGAATCACTTCACACTAAGGCTCCTCCTGAAGGGAGGACTGTGACACCGTAGAGGACAAGAAATAGGATTGGTACTCAAAATGTGGCATCCATGGAAACAAACCACTTATGAGATAGAGGGTGATAACACTTATACCCCTTTTGAGTAGGAGAGCACTCAAGGAAAACACATTTGAGGGAGCGAGGGTCCAACTTACCACGAGTGGGAGAGTGCTTGTGGACAAAACAAATACAGCCAAATATTTTTGGAGGAATAGAAAACAAGGACTCAGAACCTAGGAGGACTTGAAGGGGCATTTGTTTTTGCAAGGCCTGGGTAGGAACACGATTAATAAGATGGACAGCGGTGAGAACAGTGTCGCCCCAGTAGGACAGTGGCCCCAAACTGAGTACAAATCAACTTATGAAAATTGCGGGACACAGAGAAAACCTAACTCTTGTCTTTCATGAGATACGCCCAAGTAGTACGAGAAAAATCATCAATAAATGTAACAAACCAACGATGACATTTTACAGACATAACACGAGATGGACCCCAGACATCATAATGTATTAATGAAAAAGGAACTAAATTTTTATCAAAACTGGGAGCAAAAGAAGCTCTATTTTGTTTTCCAAGTTGAGAAGACTCACAAAGAAACTTTGACACATTATTGTTTGCAAAAACATATGGAAATAAATGCTTAAGTAAATAAAAAAAAGGATGCCCAAGACGCCGATGCCACAACCATAAATCATCTTTGGTAGTAGGACTCGTGGTGGAAGAATGGGCAAGCTTGTCCGGTTGATCCAGGAAGTAGAGACCATTTTCTGCACTACCATTGCCAATCGTCCTCCTCGTGATAAGGTCCTGAAAAAGACAATGATCAGGAAAAAAAGTCACACTACAATTCAAATCCTATGTAATACGACTCAAGGATAACAGGTTAACAGAAACATTGGGAGCATGGAGAACAGAAGATAGAGGTATGGTAGGAGTGACATGGACTAAACCTTTTTCAGAAATAGAAGAAATAGTACCATCTGCAATCCTAACTTTGCCTTGACCTGAAGAGGTCTTATAGTCAAAGAAAAGGTCAGAGGAGCCAGGCATATGATTTGAGGCACCAGAATTAATAATCTAGGTCAAAGACTTATGAGAAAGGAAAACACTAGGAGAAGGGGCTAAGGTACCTGAGTGGGCAAACGACAAGGAAGATGTACTGAGAGCAGGAGAAGATCGGCGGTCCAGCAAGTGACGCAAAACATCCTTAAGCTCATGAGTAGTTATCCTAGAGAAACCATCAGAAGCCTGGCCAACGGAAGCGTAAGCAGAATCAAGCGTATCAACAGCACTAGACTGATTAGCCCGTGGATGAGCGCCACATCCTCTAGATTGGCCTGACAAACCTCCTCTAGAACCAGACCGATCATCTTGACCCCCAGATGGAGTCCCATGAAGCTTCCAACACGTCTCACAAGTATGTCGCGGCTTGCGACAGTAATCACAGAATACAAACTCCTTGGCGGCAGACAGAGGGATGGGAGTTAGGCTAAGGCCATCTCTAGAGGTAGACAGTAATGCTGAGTAGTCAGTAGAGATAGGTGACATCATAGCAGACCGGCGACTCTCCTCATTCTGTACATTGGCGAATGCCTCCTGAAGTGAAGGAATAGTGTCCATACCTAGATCCCGACTCCGAATAGGATCATACTCCACATTGAGGCCTGCCAGAAACTTGAAGATCCTTTCCTGTGTAATGTACTTCTTGTACCCGACTGAATCAGCAGTGCACACAGGCCTATAGTCCTGCAGGTGATCAAGGTGTTGCTAGCTGTTGGTGAGGAATGTGAAGTACTGAAGAACAGTTTGCTCCCCCTGGACAGAGCTCTCAATAGAGCAGCGCAACTCAAAGGCCTGTGAGAAATTCCCTTTGTGGGAATAAGTGGCAGCCACAACATCGCAAATATTCTGGATAGTCTCCATAGACAAGTAGCCCTCACCAATTTTTGGGACCATCGAATGAATAACCAACCCATCATCAAAGAGTTAGTAATCTCCCATTAGTCATAACTCGGGTTAGTGTTGCTGGGTGCCTATATCCTGCCATCAACATACCCCATCTTCCCTCTGCTCTTCAAAAAAATAGTCAAACTCTGCGACCATACTAGATAGTTCTTACCATTAAATGGAGAGGTGGTGATTTTAAGACTAGAGTTGGGGTTATCAGTCATAGTAGTAGGTAGAATGGAACTCTCACTCCTAGGTGTTTGAGAAGTAGTAGACACACTGGTGGAATCTGCCATGGAAACTATACTACCGAACCCTCAGCAAAAGTAGTACCAATTACAAACCCGGAAGGTGGTGGTGGAAGGAAAGAGACAACGACCACTATGAAAGCATAAAGAATTAAGAACTCATTGAGAAATTATTATTTTTTTTTCCTCTTTATTTTATTTATTTATTTATTTTTTTAGAGAATAAAGAGACTAGGGTATCAGTACGTCTTATGTGTTTACAAGTCTACGAAGAAGAGGACCTGGTTAAATAAGTGGCGACAGGGGAAAAGAGAAACAGGTAGTGATAGGGAAGAATGGCGACGAGGGAAAAAAGAGAGTGACTGTTGCATGAGGCCAAAGAAGACATAGGAGCTGTCAGCTGGGCCTGAAAGACTATCCGCAAGCATCGACCAACCCAAGTAAGGTTCAAACCCTTTGATGCTGATGTTGATCAACTAGGGTGAGTTTCGAACCCTAGATAGACATCAACTAAGACCCGAAATCACCTGGGTCTTTCTCAGTGTGAGCTGAAACCCCTCAGGGTGGAGTCGACTACTGAAGGGTAGTAACTGGTAGCATGGGATGTCTCCGGCTGATGGCTGGTGGCTTTGGTGAGTAACAAGGACTGTATGGATAGATAGATGGGTTTAGGTTTTAGGGTTAGGCTCTGATACCATGATAAATTTAAAAAATACCAAGATTAGGGAATGATTGTGATATCATCCCCTTTTTTATTAATGAAGGTTAATAACTAATAATATGCTATCCTAACAGAATGAACTACATGAAAATGCATATAGATCAAAAGCTAATAAGCATGGACACTAAAAGAAGCCATCTGGAACACTTGTTATATACTAATACCGGTTGGTCTCCCCTGACATATGTCGGCTATACATTGAATTGTGTCCAAAATGTTTCTGTCTTATGTTACATGGGTGCAGAATATCTCGAAGGCATTTTGTTTCATTTGAGTGGTAACTGAAAATCTAAGTAAGCTACAGTCATTTTTTCTGATGGCATTGAAAAAATTTAATCACCAATTGCTTTTATGATGTAGTCATTTTTTCATTCCTTCCTTTTTCCAATTAATTTTAGGTCCTGGTTTTTTATTGATTTCTGGGAAATTCTGTATTGTGCACTCTGCCAATTGCCTTGCAAATTCTTGCTCGAAATGTATTCTGATATTGATGGACCTGTTATTCACACCTCCACATAGAAGGCAAAATGTGTCCCACTTGCTTAATGTGTAGTATTGATATTCATCTTGAGCTTATGGCTGACTTTTCAATATCACAACCTGATTATTTTCGATGCTTATTGCTCTTTTTCCAGAGATGCGGACTCAAGAAGCTGATATATGTGGTGGAAGGTGACCCAAATTCATCAGAAGCTGCTGAAAGCATCAAAACAGCGTAAGAATTTAAACTATGGATTTTCTTAAAGTCCTTTTGTTCTTGTCAGCATAAAGTTATTTCATCTTCAATTTTATAAGAAAAGCAATATAGATAATTTAATCTAGGAAAATGACTTTTGATCTTTGCATAGTTTTTTTTTAATTTTTTACTTTTCTTTTTGATTTGGCCTGCTTATGCTGTAGACTTCTTTTCTTTGTTATTTTCTTGCTCTATATTATATCTTTATTTCTTAAGGCATGTATTTTTATTAGTCATCCTAGTCTGCACAATCTCATATTACTTTAGTATGGCTTGCAATGTTATCACTGATGTAGGGATGATAAATGGACAATATAATTTGTAATGGTAGATGTCATGACCCCATTCTGCCCCAAACAGGATATTGTAGTGATCAGCCAGTAGTTGTGGGCTACCAAAGGCCCAACTTTCAAAACAAGTTGGACTCCTATGATAGTTGGGGCAAATTTTCTATTTTCGATTGCGGAAGCCATTATTTTCTTTTATTGAGTCCATTTAAAACATCCATTCAGAGCAGTGCATAACTATATGAAATGAAAGCATACATTCCTCTTGAAATATTATCTTGCATTATTACAAGGTTGAGACAACAAAAGCAAAGTACATCACTTGTAACAAAACCTTGCAAAACTAACAATATATACAAAACCGAATTCTAATCAAGCTCCTCTTCATAATCGAGCTCTTCATCACCTACATATATGTAAGGGAGAGGAGTGAGCTATTGCCCAATGAATAGTAATATAGTTAAGTGGTAAATGAATGAACAACAAGAAGCTGTGAATTTTTGGTCTGCCTTTATATATTTATTTTGTGGAATGTGAATTTTCTTATGAAGTTCTTGTTTTAGTGTGTCATCAATTGTTGTCTTGTGAACCTTGTGTCAATTCTTACCAACCTTCTCTATGTATGCAAGTTTCTTAGTGGACTGTCACTTATGCAGAGATGCTGATGTAGGATATCCTCTAATGAAGGCTTCCCTATAATCTAGTATGGTGGGCTAGTGGTTTAATGTTAGGGTTTATGCTTTTCAAATTTTTATTTGGGTTTGGGATCAGATTTAAGCTTGAATTATGCTAAGGTCTGAAAAGGTTACAGCCTGCATGAACTGAGGTTTAATAAAAGTTTGGTTCCTAATTTTTTTTTTTTTTTTTTTTTTTGTTTGTTTTTTTTTGAAATGTGCAATGTGCTTTATGTGTCTAAATGATGCACGCGTGTTTCCCCTTAGGGTCCAAATTATATCCAGTTCTAAAAGAATTTAAGAAATAATTGGACTCATTATGGCGCGTATTTGACACATGGAGCATGTTTTAGAGTGTCGGTGCTTGAGATGGACACGACACCTTTTTAAAAGTGTGTGTTCTTGTGAGGGATCATCCAGCATGTAGTGATAAAGTTACGGCTCTCTGACTTGAAAATTTTAGATCCTTTTTTTTTGTGAATTTTCAGTTTAAGTGGTAGCTACTTGAGTGCTATCTAACTCACTTATAAAGGACCCATTTAAAATATTCAATCTTTAGCACTTATTGCCATCACCAAACTATCCCTAAGCTAAATTACAGTGATCTAAATATTTGTTGTCATAAGCACAAAATGCGATCACCAAATAGCCCCTAAGCTAAATTACAATGCTCTAAATATTACTGGAATTAGGAAATTATTATTGTGTATATGGTAGAGTTAAAAATGAAACACAAGAATTGAGTGAGAGAGAGAGAGAGACAGGGCACATAACTTAACACTCCCCGTTAAGTTGGTGCATAGATATCCCTCATGCCCAACTTGCATGCAATCGGATGAAACACTTTACTCCCTAACCCTTTGGTAAACATATCACCTAATTGATCTTTGGATGTGACAAAAGACAAACAAATGATGCTACTATTCACTTTCTCCTTGATAAAATGTCGATCAATCTCAATGTGCTTAATCCTATCATGCTGAACCAGATTATGAGTAATGTTATGGGACAATCACTCCATTATCACAATATAGTCGCATGGGACTACCTCTCAACAATCCTAGGTTAGCCAATAAAACTTTCAGTCACATCAACTCACAACAAATGCCATGCGCCATGGCTTGATACTCCGTTTTTGCACTTGATCTGGCAACAATTGACTGCTTCTTACTCGGCCAAGTCAGCAAATTTCCTCCTACAAATATACAATAGCCTATGGTAGACCTCCTCTCATCAATAGGACCGGCTCAATTTGCATCGGTGAAGGCCTCTAACCCTAAATGATAATTATTGGAGAACAAAATGTCTTTTCCCGGCAATAATTTGAGATACCTTAAGATTCGATGAACTGCATCCAAATGCCCCGTCTAAGGATCATGCATGTATCGACTAACAACGCCAACGACATATGCAATATTTGGCCTGGTATAAGAAAGGTATATCAGTTTTCCCAAAAGCCTTTGATACCTCCCCTTGTCCATATGTTCTCTGTCATTACTATTGAGCCTGTGATTTGTGATTAGCTTCAATAGGAGAATCAGCAGGCCTACATCCCAACATGCCTACCTCCTCATGCATGTCCAAGATGTACTTCCTTTGAGAAATAAAGATGCCCCTATTTGATCTAGCAATTTCAATTCCAAGAAAGTACTGTAAGGGTCTGAGATCTTTAATTTCAAATTCCTTGAAAAGTTGAGTTTTGACTTTGGACATTTCCTCTTCGTCATTGCCTGTCACCACAATGTCATCCACATAAACAATAAGTACAATGATCTTATCTCCACACTGTTTGATGAACAAGTATGATTTGCATGGCTTTGCTTATGTCCAAATCTAAGCATAGCCTTAAGGAATCTATCGAACCAAGCTCTAGTAGATTGTTTCAACCCTTACAAAACCTTCTTTAATCCGCAAACCTTTAATCGGCAAACCTTCCCCTTAGTGACTAGAGAAGAAAAACCTGGAGGAACATGAAGAAATGCATTCTTCATATGCAACTGCTGCAATGGCCATCCTAGGGTTGTTGCACAGGAAAGAAGAACACGGGTGGAATTCATCTTAGCCATTGGTGCAAAGGTCTCTTGGTAGTCAGTGCCATAAGTTTGAGTGAATTCCTGGCAACTAGCTTGCCTTATATGTCTCAATGGTTCCATCAGTTTTCTGCTTGACAGTGAACACCCATTTGCACCCCACAGGCTTTTTCCCGATTGGTAGAGAAACTAACTCCAAAGTGCCATTCTTACTCAGTGCTCTCATCTCCTCTACCATAGCTTGTTTCCACTTGGAATCATTAAGAGCTTCCTTCTAACCTTATGGAATAGAAACAAAAGACAAAGACGAAACAATGGTATGGTACGATGGAGATAATGAGTCATATGATACAAAATGTGATATGGGATGTTGAGTACAAGATCTGACTCCTTTCCCAATAGAAATAGGAAGATCCGAGCCATCGACTTCATGAACATCACTAGCAGGGACGAGAATTAGCAACCAATGACTCATTAGCCGAAACTGGAGATGGAGATGATTGGCATGGTAGCACATTAGGCACCTGTTCCCTCTGTTGCCGAGAGTAGGTCTTGAGATTTGATCTATCCAACCGACGAGACTCCCCCTGAACACAAGGAATTTGATATTAAAGACTTAGGGAATCTAAAATATTTTCTAGGTATTGAGGTTGCACGCTCTCGTCAGGGGATTTCTTCTCAGAGGAAGTAGACTCTTGATTTGCTTAAGGATACCGGTATGTTGGGATGCAAACCTGCTTTTACTCCTATGGATCTTAATGTTAAGCTCACATCAGAATCTGGTGAATTATTAGCAAACCCAGTCTTTTATCAATGCCTTGTTGGCCGTCTCATTTATTTGACCACTACTAGTCCTGACTTGATATTTGCAGATAATGTTGTGAGTTAATTTATGCATGCACCTTGTACAGAGCACCTTGATGCAGTTTACCACATTTTGAGATATTTGAAGACTTCCCCTGGTATGGGATTTTTTTATCGACATGCTCTCAATCCGGACTCTCCTGCTTTATTGATGCTGACTATGCATGATCTAAGATTGATCGACGTTCCACTTTTGATTTCTGTATTTTCTATAGTGATCATCTTATATCATGAAAAATAAGAAACAAGAGTTGTTTCTAGATCTTTTGCACAGGCTGAGTATTGGGCTATGGCACAGGGCACATGTGAGATTCTATAGCTTCGATCTATTCTTGTAGAGTTGGGATTTGAAGAAGCTGCTTCTGTTTCTTCTTCTTGGCTTTGTGATGACAAATCAGTTATTATGCTCCCCACTGATTTAGTACTTTCATGAGCGTACTAAACACATTGAGGTTGATATACATTTTATTAGAGAAAAGGTTCGGACGGGTGTTGTGAGTCTATCCTTTGTCACTTCTAAGCAGTTAGCTGACATGTTCACAAAGTCTGTAGGTCCAACACTACTTTAGTCATCTATTAGCAAGTTGTGTTTGTTGAATTTCTTCACACCAGCTTGGGGGTTAGTATTGGAATTAGGAAATTATTATTTTGTGTATATGGTAGTTTATATAAAATCCGTGATTGTGTATAAATCACGGATTTAGTGCCTTTGATTATTTTATTTCTTAATTTGTAAATATTCATTCAATATATATTCATGGCTTGGCCTCATTCAAAGGTGAGCCTTTCAATTATTTTCTTCTTCTAGTATTTCGAAGAAGTCCTTGTAACACGCTAGAAGTGATGGGGTGAAGAAGGAGTGACACATATTTGCTTCAATAGGAACACTCATTGTTAGTATTAGGACTATAATAGGTTGAGAAATTCATAATTATGTGCACCTTAGGTAGAGCCAACGCTTTTAAAGGCGAAAGTGCAAGGTGAGGCGTTACACCCCTCATGGGGCAAGGTGTAAGCCTCAAGGCATTGAGGCATAAGCTTTTTGATTATTTATTTATTTATTTATTTATTTATTTATTTTATATTTTTATAAAATATAGTTAATTAAAAATGGCATGAAAAGGAGTTTAAAAAAAAATAGCAACTAAAATTTTTAAAAGCCAGTCCAAGCATAAAAACTTATTGAATTTATTCATTAATGAATTTATTTTAAGTTCCATAAACAAAAGCAAACACCAACAAAAAGGGAGCTTTTAAGTACACCGACAAATTTTTTCTTCTAACCCGCTATATGTGTCATCACTAAAGACATTTGAATATATTGGTGTGCAAAGATATTTTGTGTATTTGAAAAAGAGGCCACTGACAAAATTATGTATTATGCCATGCACATTGTTATACCGTAGATACCAAGCCACTGCCATTTAGATAGCACATTGGACATACCTTAGAGCCTTGGAAGCATGGATGCTATGAGAGAACTTATTAGCTTGAAAGATGTTATGGGGGAGCTTCATCGACATCAACTTTGCTTTAGACATGATTGGGAATAAAAAGACGACCTTGAAGAGTGGACAACATTGTCCATTTAGTCATCTTGGGAGGTATGGCTGACCAAGGATGTTAGGTCACTGGTGGCCACCCAATTAGGTTGGTTGACAGGTTGGGTCCAAGTTTTAGGCTCTGTCAGACCCATATTTGGGCCAACCAATTTTGACATCCTGAGTTTGAATAACTCTGTAGGTATCGGCCAAACCACATCAGGTATGGGCCGACATTTTAACTTTCTCATGGTCTGTGGATTGGCCAAGCCTTATAGTGGGCTGGCCCACACTTGGCAGGTTTGGAAAAACTAGTTGTTATGCACTCTAAATTACATCTCTTCAACGTAATGTGAGTGTCACGACGCCATCCCGTCCCAAACATGATAGTATAGTGATCGGCCAGTAGTTGTGGACTATCGAAGGCCTGACTTTCAAAACAAGTTGGACTCCTATAATAATTGGGGCAAAATTTTTCCATTTACAAATGCAGAAGCCGTTATTTTCTTATATTGGGTCTATTTAAAGCATCCATTAGAGCAGTGCATAATTATATGAAATGAAAGCATACATTTCTCTTGGATTATTATCTTGCTCTATTACATGTTCTATATGACAAAAGTAAAATACAACACTTATGACAAAGCTTTACAAATCCAACACAAGTATACAAGACCGACTTCTAATCAAACTTCTCCTCGTAATCGAACTCTTCATCACCTACATATATATAAGGGAGAGGGAAGAGCCATTGCCTAGTGAATGGTAATATAGTAAAGTGGTAAATGAATGAACACCAACAAACTTTATAAACATAGCATAAATCATAATTTGAACATTGCATAATTTGAGCATGATAATTCAAAACTTATCTTGCAAACATTTACATAGCGATGAATATTCCAAGGATTACAAGGTGAATAACCGGCTTGTGGACCGATTAAACGACCCACCAAAAGGTGGCAAGACCCACACAAGGTGGCAAGGCCCACGCGAAGTGGCAAGGTGAGCTCGGCCGTCAAGGTGTTATTGGTATAATCCCCCAATAACTGGGACATGATCCAAGGTTGTCATCTTTATATGTGATACAAGAGTATATGATGTTCATTCATGGTAAAACAGTAGCATAGCTTTCATAAACATAGTATGAGTTTGCATTTGAAATTGTAGCTTAACAAACATAATTTTGCTACACTACCACTGACAAATCGCTCATGAAAAAGGGATTACTCTTCCGAGTGCTTGACCTCAGAATGATTAAGGGTGGATTTTTGACAAGGTTCTTCAAGCCTTCTCCTTTTCTCTTCTTCTTTCTCTTCTCTTCTCCTTCTTTCTCCTTTCTTCTAGTTGATTTCTTCCCAGCAGATTTTTCTCTTCTTGTTTGGCTTTTGTAAGGCAAGGTAGGACAAGAGTTGAGTTGAGACAAAATGGGAGGTGTATGCACCACCTACTTGTTTGCTTCACCAAATTCCTTAATTCTCATCATTAATTTAATTAATCATAGTTATTATTTATCAAGGTTAGCCTCTAATTAATCAAGGTTTAACTTAGGGGTTGTTTGGAGTGTCCTAAATAAGTGCACTTTTTGTCTTTTTGAACTAAAAAATTGAGGAAGAAAATATAGATGTTTGGGTTAACTTTTTGACTTTTTATGAAAAAATATGTTATAAAAAATTATAAATATTCCTATATAAGGAGTGTCATTTGGTCTTGTAAGATAAGAAGTTTTGAATATAACAGAAATATATTCCTTCTTCCTCATATTTTCTAAGTTTAATCATAGTTATTATTTATCAAGGTTAGCCACTAATTAATCAAGGTTTAACTTAATCTTGCTTAACTTAATTAATCACGATTAAGGCTCACTAATCTTACTGAATTAACACTAATCCTTATTAGCAAAATAATATGGCATTAAAATAACAAGCACATTAGTCTATGGTCTTAAAGCTACTTAATTAAAGTTTCTTAGGTTATCTATGCATTCAATATCCATATCAAAATCCATCCCCTAATTCCATGTTACTTATCAATTCCCACACCAAGGTTCTATTTCTAAATTGTCTTGGGTTTTTCATCAATCACAAGTATCCTTAAATCCCTTCTTCTTAGTCACTCTTCCTCAAGTCTTTTTAACTACTCGCTTCTATGCTTTACTTCAAGTATTCTGTATAGTGAGATAACTAGCTTGACTTAAGACATTCAAGGATATGGTATGTGGGATTCTTTGGGGTGTCACAGTGAGTGAGTGAGAGCTTGTGGAACGCTCACTGCACCTTGGGGTGAAGGTCTTGCTTCTCTTGAAGTGTTGGATGTTCTCATTAAAAATATATTTTCTCATCATAAGGTTATAAATTGTTGTTTGTGTACACTATTGTTGTCCACACAATTATACTTTGGTCTCTCACATAGAGACATCCTAGGAAGCTCTTGGTGAGCATCTTAAGTGTTAGGAAGTGTTTTTTGTGGTTGTTGGTTTTGGGTTGACCCAAGAAAACCCTATTTTTTGAATTTGTGCTTTGTGTTATAAAGGTTGAAGGTTAGCATAGGGAAAACCTCTTGAAGTTATAAAGGTTAAAAGTTAACTTAGGAAAAAACCTGTTGTTATTTAGTGGAGATAATGCTAATAGGTTAGGGGTAGATGTAAGCACAAGTGATGTGCCAAGCCACTATAAATCCTTGTGTTCATGCTCATTGTTTTCGTTGCATTTACTTTATGGGAAATGCTAGCCATTGCCGTTAGGCGGTGGTGAATGTTGGTTTATGTGTAAAAAGTGTATTGAAATATATGAAGCTAATAGAAATATATAATGGTGTATGGAAATATGTGAAATGTGCATTTGAATTCAAATTGTTTTTGCATTATTTGGTTCTTAACAAACCTTATGGGTGGTCGTTAGTAGGACCCTTGCTTTGTATGATTATGATATGAATTTATGAGATGAATACTTAATGCTTGATTGAAAATCTTGAAGTAAAAATAGGAAGAGGTTAAAAGACAAGATCATCACATCAAGGAAAATCACAGGTGTTACTCATCAACATTGGTTAACCACAAGAAGTAAACCAGGACTGTCAACCAGCCCTGGAGCTGGTTGACCAGAGCAAAGCAGAATTTGGTTTTCAGCATTTGAATGAGTGAAAATGAAATAGAGAGTCCTAATTGGCTAGCCCTTTGGCTACCAAGTTTCTCCTAAGGGGGAGGCCTTGGGTTCCACTCTTAGGAGTGGAATGGGAGGGCAAGATTTTCTTGCAAGGTGTATCGGTGTGAGTTTCAACTCCCCCAAGGTGCTAATCTAACATCTAACCACTAACTTTCGCCGATCAAAAAAAAAAAAAAAAAAAAAAAAAATCTTGCACTTGCAAACCTCCGACGATTTATGGTGTTATATACACTCTGCAATGGAATAGTTGCTGTTTCTGTATTTGTGCTTGTGCATAAGTTAGCTCTTGTTATCTTTTATTTTGTAATTTCTGATCCTTTTACTACATCTGGCAGAAGATTGTTAATTGCACTTCCTTGAATCTGTTATGTAAATAATCCATTTATTATAACTCTCACCTCAAGATAACTAACTATAGTTTGCTAGTAATTATACCTTCTCTTAATCTATTGTGCAAATTATTTAATAACAATGCTCTCACCTCAAGATACCTATGGTCTTTGTTTTGTTTTGTTTAGGTATTTTTTATTTATTTATTTTTATATTTTTTCATTTCTTTGCTAATCTATTTTTCATTACCCTCACAGTGCAAGGCTGGCATGTAGATGGTTGAAATCTAGTCCATATTGCTTAAAGAGTACTAAATTATTGTTATGTCCTTTTCAATAGCTTGTCAAATGTTATTGTTGTATCATTTTATTTGTGCAGTTGTTTCACGACAGAGATTTTGGAAGGGTTTGATGTGCAGAGAACAACTGGCTTGGGCGATACATTGAGGAGATATGGTTATCTTACTCAAGCAATAACTCAATACTACAGATTACAGTTCACCGAAGACAAACAGAATAGTTTGGGAGTCTCTGTCTGTCCCCCTTTTGATGAGTTTATTAGGAGGTGCCAAAATTTGGATAAGATGACAGTCAGTGATGTATTTGCCATCCAACTCATGCAGGTATTAACTTGATAAACAAGTTAGACTACTTGAATTATCTGTAAATATCATATCATGATACATTTTTGCAGCCCGTATGGTTTTCTATCTTTTTAATCGAGTCAGCTATTCCCTATGACTTCATTTGCCATAATTGTACTGAATCATGGTCCTATGCAGTTATGAAAGCTCTAATTGATTATATTTGCCCATGGTTGTGTTGTTGATGGAGCCTGAAACAAGATTAAACCTAATCAGATTAGGAGAAGGAAACTAGTGTTTGGTTAGATTTGGACTCTAAACTATTTCCTTGTCGGTTAAGGTTTTCCTTATTAATTTAGGATTGGGTTTAAGGCTAGTCCTATAAATATATCCATGTAGGTCTATGTTTTATAATTTATTCATTAGGTTTGTGATCTTAGAGAGATATACAATAGTGAGAGTGAGAGATAGATCATTGTAGAGAGAGAGTTCGTGAGATTGAGTATGAGAGACTCTTGTAACTCCTTTCATATTGATCTTGGTACATGTGCAATGACTACGTGGATGTAACCTGTGATTTGGGCGAACCATGTAAATCTCGTGTTGCTTTGGTGAGTTTTATTTTTTTTAAAATTTCTTTTTTTTTTACTTCTCTGTTCTAGAATCGTTGTGTGCGTGATGGTTTGCTTAGGTCCTGGAGTTTGGTATTAGTCATATATCCCAAAACAGGCTGTCTTTTTTATGTGTTATTAGTATTACTTCTTTAAATGTTATTGTGGCCTGTGTTACATGAATTCGGGTATGAGTGTTGGGTGTGGATATGTATCTAGAGTTCAGATTTATCAAACCATAAATATAAGGATACGCAGACTCAACAAAAAGATAATATATTTTTATATTTTTAATCAAGTATGTGAGATAAAATGGTACTATATGTAACTTATAGCGTCAAAAAAGACATATATAGCAATTATACAAAAATATGTACATATAATAGTAGTGTTATATACAATTATATATGAAGCGTCCGTTGAAAAGTATCCGACACGTCCTATACCCTTGTCTGAGTGTCAAGTGTCCGACATGGGTATTTGATTTATTTTGAAGAGTCCGTGTAACATAGATTATGGCTGAACAAAAATGGAGTACCTTTGGGAGTTGGGGATATTGACATTAGACTATTGCCACCAGATGTGGATACTTGAAGTTTGGAATGCGTTCTTGTAACACGAAACCTCATTATTTGTTGTGAACCTTTGTTGTACAAGATCCAATTTTTACAGTTGAATCAATAGGGTTATTTGATGGGATCCAAGAATAAGAGAGATTGTAAAGAGAGAGAGAGAACCACAAAGGTTTTGGACAGAGAAATCTCAATATCATTGAATTGTATTCATCAAAAGTTGGTTACAAAAGATGACCTTACTCTAGATATAAATCACTATCTCACATGAGCGTCACATGAGAGGCATATGTCCTACATCATACTCTTGCTCTTGAAAGAGCTTGTTCGCAAGTGAGGATTGAAAGAAAACAAAACAATTAATGGCACAAGCAATAAAAATACAATACAAAACTAGTATCAATACAAACTAATCTACTAGAAGAAGCTAGTCCTCAAACTAAGGCAGTTGTGTTGGTACAAGAGGAATTCGACAAATGCGCATTGAATGTGTTGGAGATACCCAAATGAGGTAACTGGACTTGATAAGCGTTGTCATTGATTTTGCTCAACACTTCACATAGATCCATTTTTCAATTACTCAACTTCATGTAAGCACCATGAGGATACCTTTCCTTGCTCAGTATAATCCAAACAAGATCCCTTTCTTTGAATAACCCGTTTTTGTGTGCATCAACAGTCGCCTAGTATTTTGCATTAGACTTCTCAATTTGTGACTTGATTTGAGCATGTCTATTCTTCATAAATGCAGCCATCTTCTCTGCTTTGGTGCTTCCTTTCCTTGAAATTGGTGAAGGAACCAAATCCACTTTATTGAAGGCTTCATCCCATAAACCACTTCAAAAGGGGAAGTGTTAATGGTGCGATTTATAGAAGAGTTGTAAGCAAACTCAGCCAAGGGAAGAATTCCATCTCAACTCTTGGGATAATAACCCACTAAACACCTCAACAAGTTCCCAAGACTTCAGTTGAGCACCTTCATTTGGTCATTTGTTTAGGGATGAAAAGTAGTACTAAAATTCAAGTCTGTCCCAATTTTCTTCCACAAAGTTCACTAAAAGTGAGCAAGAAACTTCGTATCTCTATCTAGTACAGTTGAGCTAGGAAAACCATCCAACTTGTAGACTTCCTTGAAGAAGAGATTAGCAATGTTGATAGCATCTAAAGTCTTTTTGGAAGGTATAAAATGTGCTATCTTCGAGAAACAGTCTACCTCCACCATGATAGAAACACTCTGCCTTTGTGTAGGCAGTAGCCCCAAAACAAAATCCATCCTACTGCATCTCCAAGGACTATCCGACAGTGGCAAAGGCGTGTATAACCCACATTAATTGCAGTTCTCGTACTTCGTTGACAAACGTGACACCTTTTCACAAAACTACCCACATCCTTAGTTATTCCCGGTCAGTTGTACGCATCTTAAAGCAAGCTAGGAGTCTTGTCTTTATTGAAGTGACCCAATTTATGATGTTCAACCAATAATTGTGTTCTCAAAGAACAACTAGGGTGTATTTATAGGGCTAGCTAGGAGTCGAGCTTTGATCCGGACATCCTAGTGCTAATCAAAAAAAAAAAAAAAAGGTCATCCTCCTCAACCCATCGATCACCTTGTTGAGAACCCCCGACTTAAATGTTAATTGTTGCAAGTAAGCTACCCATTTAGCATGTCACTTGTTCGGATGTGGTTGGCAATTGATGTACTTAAGAGCCTCGTGATTGGTATTGAGTACAAACTCTTTGTGGGCAAGATAATAACTCCTATGCGTGGTGGCTTAAACATTGGCATAGAACTCCAAGTCATAAATTGAATACTTCAGCTTAGCTTAATTTAATTTTTCACTGAAGAAGGCGATTGACTACCTTCTTGGCTAAGGACACCCCCAATGACCACTCTTGAGCCATCAAAACCAAGCTCAAAGGTTTTGTCAAAGACTGGTAATGCCAAAATTGGAGCTTGAGTAAGCAACCTTTTCATTAGTTGGAAGCTATCGGTTTCATTAGTTGGAAGCTATCGGCGGCTTCCTTGGTCCATTCAAAAGTCTTAAGTTTGAGAATGTCGGTTCGAAGGGCGGCGAGACTACTAAAGTTATAAATAAACTGTCTATAGAAGGTAGCCATCCTGTGAAAACTTCTCACTCACTAGAGGGAGTAGGCCATTCAATAATGACCTTGACCTTATTCGTATTGATAATAACCCTTCGAGAAGAAACAATATATCCAAGAAAATAACTTGATCAACCGCAAAGCTTCATTTCTTGGTACTTCCCTAAGACATCTCTCGTCTCATAAGATCAAAGACTTGTTGAAGATTGCTTAAATGCTCTCCCAAACTTTGGCAAACTTTGGCTATAAATCAAGATATCATTGAAATAAACCACGACACAAACACCCAATAGTGGTTGCAACATTTGGGTCATCACCAAGATGAAAGTACTTGGGTAATTGGTAAGCTTGAATGGCATCATAAGCCACTCAAATAGACCATTAGATGTCTTGAAATACGTTTTCCATTCATTACTTGGTCGAATGCTGATTTGATGATAATCACTTCTAAGATCAATCTTAAAAAACACCCTTGAGCTAGCAAGGCGACCCAACATATCATCCAATCTTGGAATTGGAAAGCATTACTTGATTGTAATCTTGTTGATTGTTTAGCTATCCATGCACGTTCACCATGAGCCATCTTTCTTAGGTGTCAAAAAGAGTCAGCACATCACAAGAACTAAGGCTTGGCTGAATATACACTTTAGCCAAAAGCTCTTTTATTTACCGTTGCAACTCCTTTCTCTCGTTTAGAGACATGATAGGCTAGTTTATTTGGAAGCGATGACCGAGGTACCAAATCAATACATTGTTGGATGTCTCTCATAGAAGGCAAATTGGAAGGAAGCTCTTGGAGAAAGACATCAGTATACTCTTCTAAAAGAGAAGTAACATCAACTTCACCCTTAGTGGGAACCGTGTGCAAAACCGGAACCAAAACCAAGACAATTCCAAAATCCTGTCTATCCAAAACTCTTTGGTTGCAAGCAATGTGTTGAAACTAGTATATGGCTTGGAAGCGACCTTGTCATTCGTAGAAAGCAACGTGAAATGCCTATCATACTCGATAATGGTGTAAGTGTTCCGTTTACCATCATGCAAAGATTGCTAGTCATATTGCCAAGGACACCCGAGTAGAATGTGGCAAGAATCTATAGGCACTACATCACACCACGCTTCATCAAGATACTTCTTTCGAATAGAAAATGAAATCAAACATCGTTTGGTTACCTTGATTTGAACCTAGATAGTGAGTATGAATGTGGATGGTTTTCCATCAAATGATTGAGCTTAGTCACCACTTCTTGAGACAACCCATTCTCACGACTTCTGCTATCAATGATCATGTTACAAAAGTGTCCTCCAATATTGCAAGTTGTATGGAAAATGTTTGTATACAACCAATCTTCTTAGCTCTCTTGTTTAAGTGAGAGAAGCATCTTCTTCAACATAAGAGCGAAACCTCCTCTTCATCACTGTCTCCATCACTTTCAACATTGCCCAGATTATCATAGAATGGAACATCATCATTGTCACCATGTTCATCCACTTCTTAAATGAGAAGTGTCTTGTTTCAATTATTGCCTATTTTCTTGCGACAATTGGAACATCTAGGTTCTAGCTCACCACATTTGAAGCATTGGAAGTTTTCCCCTTGAGGTGGATTCCGACTCCCGGAAGTGCCATTAGAACGTGGAGCTTGAGAAGAGCAAGCACCCTTATCCATATACATGAAAGGATGACTAGCTCAGTCAAAGCTAGGAGGGGAAGGTCCCAACCTAAATCCACCTCGAAAACCCCTTTGAGAGTATTGTCCCATTCGGTAAGCTCCATGACT